TAAATAATCAAGCTGCTCTCAGAGGGAAAAAGAAAAAAAAAAAAAAAAGAAAGAAAAGCTATTTTTTTCTAGCTATTGATTTTATTTTTGCAGTATGATTTGCAGTAATGCTTCCAGCACAGAAATTCTTAGGGAGCTTAAACTTCTCTTTTCTGTAATTTGTTGTAGTTTTGGACAATCTAGTCACTGGTACTGATGGCAGAATGGGGAGACTGGGACAGATTTGTTCCAGTGTGTACACTAGGACTTGCATTAATCTCTGGTTTATGTGCCTGGAAGGATTCCCATCCCTCCCCTCCAAGCATGGCCTGCATGTGTCTGGGATTTGTTGCCTTCCAGTCAGTGCAGCATAAATTCTTATTAGATAGCTCGTAATGATTCCTGCTGCTCAGCTCAGCCATGTATTTGATGACTGTAGCCATTTACTAGTAGAATTTGAAACAGGTTTCTACTGAAACGTGATTAGTAAAGCAGCCTTTCGATTTTTAATATCCTATTGAGTAAGCTAGTTTTATCAATTCCGCCCCTTCATATTGACTTCTTAAGGCATCTCCCTGAACGTGTTGCCAGATTAAGATATTGGAGAGAAAAATACCAGAAGAGTGGGAAAATCTCTAGAGCCAAAACGCAAGAGAAAGAAGTTTTGGTGTATGTGGTTTGAAATGGGCTGAGAACTAGTGAAGCAAAGCACCACCAGGAAAATTGCTGCCGTCAACACTGCTGGGAAGAGCTGCGGTGGGAGCAGTGCTGGTTCTGACAGACAGCTGCAGAAACCTTGCGGCTTGGTTGCTCTGCAGCACATCTGGGACACTTAAACCCATTTTTAATGACATGAATGCAAAAGGATGGAAAACGAGGCTCACTAATCACTTTTAGTGCAGTACGGTAAATGGTTGCAGGGCCTGATCCAAGGATGGGGAGAGCGTTCTCCAATATCATCCAGTAAAAGCAGACAAGAAAAGTAAACTTTCTCCAGGCAAACTCCCACTGATCATACACTACATGTCCAAATCCTCCATAGGAAAGAGTGCCAGCTAAGATATGAGGTAAGCAGTAGGATAATTATGAGCTTCTCTTACTGATCAAAACTGTCATCTCAGCTATGTGTAAAAATAATATTGTCTAGAACTGCCCCCGTGCATCTCTTAAGGAGATAACCTTTGGGGGATAAATCCTGCTTTTGCTCTTCAAGCTTTCTGTTTTCTGCTGTAGTGTCTCTTGTGGGAGCAAAGGGACAGCACTTTTGAAAAGTTTGTTGTGGAGAATTCGCTACAGTTTGCCATCTGCTGTGTCACTGATCAGGTTGGCATCACTGAACTGTTCTGCAGTCTTATCACGGGATGAACAAGCAGACCTCCAGAGCGTGAGGAAGCTCTCTACGCTTTAAAAATACAAATTCTGACGTTGTTAGATGGGCTTTGTAGAAAATGTCACAACTCCACACACTTACTGTGAAAAGGGCTTTGGTATTTGAAAACTCCAGACTTGAACCTGAATATTACCATTGGATCAATGTGCTTGTCATGCTACCTTTAGTAAACCCTGGAGAAATGAACGTAATTTTGAAAGTATTATGTGATTTGGCCTGCATCACAATTATGGCTTTAGCTCACAGTTTACTCACGAACAACGGAAAGTGTTTAAATGTACAGGGTTCAGTTTTCATCGCTCCTGGCATGAAAAAACAGTCAACCAGCTCCTCACCCCTTGAGACCAACAGCCTGGGAACTTAACTCTCCAAAAGAGAAGGGGGCTTTTGATATAGATTTATAGAAATTCAAGTAACTATGCAAGTTGCAGGACTCTTTCTTTACTGTTGGTATCTCTAAAATCTGATTTCCAGATGGCAGCCTGGTAAGTCCTCTTCACCAGACTTGCTCTCTTCCTTGTCATTTATGGAGGGACTTACAAAAGGGGTTAACTCAGAAAATGTACACTACACAGCAGGAGTAACTAGCTACCTAGCACAGAAAGGGGAGTTTTATGTGAAGATGATAAATTTTACTTCATCAAGTGAAAGATAATACACGATTTAAAACTAGCAGCCAGAAGTGCTTTTTAAAAAGAACTGGCAAAGCTTATGCTGACATGATGAAATAACACCTGAAACAACTGAACATGATGAAAAAACACCTTTCCAATTCCAGGTGAGCTGGAATTGGAAAGTACCCCTAAAGAAAGTCGAGGTGGGTCACTCCAGTTTACTGGCTTTGAAGGTACAAAATCTGTCCAGATGGTTGAGCTATTCCTGCAGCATTTAGAAGTACATATTTCTTAAGAGGCATAACATAGTCTTGAACTACTTTGGTTGGGGGAACTCTGTCATTCTCATTAGTCTGAGAAATGGATAATGCAAGCTGGAGGTAGATACAATGCAGCCAGCTCTTGAACGGCCCCTGGTAGCTCATTCATAACCCAAGGCAAAACAGTGCAGGAGAAGACTTAGCAGTGTAGGGCTCCAGCAATCTTAACTGTCATTGATTTTCCCAGCTCTCACTTCTTGTTAGCCAGCCTGTTCTTCTGGTCTTCTCAAGAAATGTTAAGTAGCATGTTACAAATGAGTTACTTCCTGACCTAAAATGCAGTATGAAGTACCACCTTGGCCCAGTGGGATTTAAAGTAGTTCTGATTCAAGCTCAGGTTTTCTGATCCATAGCTTTTGGGAGTGAAACACGCTTGCCTCTCTACAGACAGCAAAGGCTGGAGGGACCCAATGAGCTGTTGTAATTTTGCTCATGTATCTGCTCTCAGCTCAGTTTATCTGCCCATGTTGAGGTTTTAAGTAAGGAGATGCAATGTAAGGGTAGTTTTGAGTATTTGGGATTTCATTTCCACTCTGTCCTTCTTTGGTTATTTATGCTGATCTTGTACCAATCTTACTGGGAAAGCACCAATTCCAAAGTAAACATCGAGCAGCTGCCAAATGAGGTGCATGCATAAATACACCATCAGTGGTAGCAGAATGGTGAAGGCGCCTCTGCTGCCAGACCATTTACCTCTTTGGAAGGGCCTGTGTCCCTTCAGTCTGGGACCCCATTGCAGGTAAGATGATAAAAGAAGGATGGTTGACAACTTACAGTGATTGAAAATGAGCTGTACAGTATTAAATCCCAACCTCTGAAGTGAAAAGCATCTCAAAATATGCGAGTCTTTTGCTTCACTCTTCTTCCCTTGCAGCCGTGTGCCCAATACGTAATGCTGCAGAGCATGGTGCTAGAACTATGCAAAAAGATGAAATGCTTCAATACCCTTAACACTATGCAGTGTCTATTAAATTACATTTTCTCTGGGTTTAGTGTAGATTTGCTGCAATATTTTTGTTCCTTGCTATTCCTTATTTATGTAAAAATATGCGATGGGGAGGGAATGCAGAGTTTCCATTTGAAAACTAGGAATGGTAAAAGTGTTATTTGATGAAATATGGGAAAAGAGTATTCTGGTCTGGGCCAGTTTGTTTTGGCATCTGAGATGATGCAAGTCCTTAGCTGGTTGCTAAGTATCATTTCATGCTCTTCAGATATTCTGATCCAGCATTTCCTTCTCTGGCTCATAGTTGTCCCGGTTGGTCTTGGTACATCAACAGGTTTTTTTCTTTCCCCCTGGAAGTTTAGCAGTTTTTCAAGGATAAAGAAAAAAAATGTTTGATTTTCATCTCCAGAAGAAAAAAAGCTTTTCAGCTTTTTTTATACTGATATTTGGCCTCAGCAAGAGACTATGGAAATGTGTTTGACAGAAACTGGTGCTATGAGTAAGGAAAGCATTCTGAAGTGCCACCTGTATTGTTAGCTTCTGATTGTAACTGGATTAGCAGAACATTGGCATAAGCCTGAAATTAAGCATAGGCTTGATTTTTTACTGAAATACTATCTCTAGGTTACTGGTATGTCTTTGGGGCTGGGAAGAAACAAGTTTTCAGAAGATTGAATTAACAGTCTCTTAAAAATCTGTTTCTTTGTGCATATACTATTATTAGTCATAGAATAAACCAAGTTGTCTCTGTGTTTCATTAGCTTTGCCTATGCATGCGTACATAAATTGTATGGCAATGCCCACTGAATAGGCAGTCTCTCAGTACTCCATTGTGTTTGCACATGCATGCATGAGAGTGTTGCATTTTTATATATAAAAGCTATGTGATCTGTGATGATGCTTCTGGAAGAAAACAAGGTTCCTGGAGAGTCCTGTCTCATGCTGCCAAAGACCCTGTATCACTGTTTATCTGCTTTGGGCAAAGGTATTTGGCTTTCCAGACCCAATACTCTCACTTCACATGATTAGATTTCTGTATTAGAAACAACCTGCCCTCCTTCCTGGAGTTTTCTTGATTAAAAATAAACAAATAAATGAAAAGTCACTGAAGTCACTGGAAGGACAGTAAGGTTGCAGAGTTCTTAAATGGCTAGAAATGCCTCAAAGCATGTCACCCCTGTAAATTTAATTCTGCTCCCTTTGAGGTTTTGCAATTCAGTCTTTTCCAATTGAAGCACTCATTTTAATTCTACGGAAAGAATTGTTCTGACTGGACAAAATGATGCAAAACTGTGCAGCAAACAGTGAGAAAGAATTTGCAAGGGACTTTTCACCTCAAGTGTATAGTCACAGCCAGAACCACAAAGATCACAGTTTGTCTTACAGTGTTACTGCATTTCCAGACACCATCTTTTCTGTAGAGGGAACAAGAGCAGGTTTACATGGATTAAACAGCACATGATCAAATGATTAAGTAGTCTATCTGAGTGCATAATGCACAGGAAACGTGATTAAAAATCCTGTTGGGACTCTTAATGTGGGTTTCTATGTAGGAAAACAGACAGGTGGTACTTAAGAGTGTGAATTAAAAACTACGTAATGCTTGCACATATATACACAAACTGTGTAGTGAAGAAGATAAATGGTGGAGATATCCAGCTGTGTAAGATGCTGCTGAATAAAATGTGTACAACTTGCCATGAAGTAAATGCTTTGGCTGTGAACTAAATGATATTTCCCTCCTATTCTAGAATTGATATGGCTGGAGAGAGGTGGTGACCGTCCTGTTGGTGTGTTAGTCTGAGAATTAGTGAAGAATCTACACAGTGGAGAATTACATCAGTGTTGCCTCATCCAGGTCAGATTTTATTCAAATTCCAGTTTAAATGCTAGTCACAACAGAGGAAGGTGTTTTACAGAACTGCTCAGCCTGGGGTCTCTTCCTTGAAATCCTTGCAGACTGGCTGTGACATTCACTCTCCTGGCATTCCTCAGTGTCCCTCTTGCAGACATCTGGGGTGTTTCTGTTTCTCCCCCAGGGGCTGGTTATGCTGGCTCCACTGTAGGAGCATGTGCTGATGCCTTCTGAAGTCTGTGGGCATCTGCTTATTTAAGCAAATGATTATCAAAGCAAACCCTCATCTCAGGCAGTTGCAGTGCTTCCTGTAGCCAGCGGGGAAGCATTAATTTCTGCTCTGGCAGTTTTTGGGTACCATCTGCCCAGCCAGGCTGTCAGAAAGTGCAGCTCAGTAACCTAGCTGGTAGTGTTTGGGGATACAGTAAGGCTAAACACAGGGGTTGCTTCTCCACCCTCAGCTACTGCTCCAAAGCTGCCTTTCAGGAGGCTTTCAGCAGACACAGAAAATCTTGGGAGCAAAAGTAATGCAGCAGAGTGGTGAATCTCCACATTTCCTCTGATCAGCCCCACCGTTCTTATGAAAACCCTGCTGGGGGAGGGAAGCGGGCAGGTAAATCCTGGCCTCTGCTGGGAACAGCCAAGCAGAGCCCCAGGTAGTGCCTTGGGCAGATACATAAGCCAACAGGTAATGTTTGACTGACCAGACCTGAATGGATGATCAAAAAGTGGAAGCCGCCGTGGCCATTCGTCAGTTTTCTCTGTCTGAAACAGAACCCTTGAAACCATTTGAGTTTGAAGTGCTTAGAAAATTAGACCTTATAAGCCTGGAGAGAGTGTGTGTGGGGGGAAGATCCTCAGTTTTGATTATTTCTCTACTTATAGATTCACATTTCTGTGTTATGCATTATTCATGGCATCAGTATATGGTACTGCTGACATTTGTCACTGCTGGTTTCATTCTATGCAAATCTGCAAACCGCTTTTGTAGACACTACATGAGACTCCTTTTCATTACGTGAAAGAGTGAATGTGTAATTAACAGTGTACCAGTGAAAACAGCACTTACATGGCCTATCAGAACAGGAATCTGTTCTTTAATAGCATTTCCAGTTCATCACACATACCGTATCTCCTTGGGATATGAGTAATAACCTTGCCTTCCTTGAGTCAGATTCAAATGGCTTTTTTTTTTTTTTATTGTTGTGAAAGGAGTCTGAACGCTGTTGTACATGGTAATTTAAACTACCCCTGTTCAGATGTTGCTGGCCTCCACTGATACATAAACCTCCACAACATCGGGCTTTCATTAGCACTAAGTATGAAAATTAAGTTCTGATCGTGGTTATCCCGATACATCTCTGGAACACATCCACTGAGAGCCACAGCCTGACACCAGATGTTGTGTTGTACCTGGGGTGATGGAGGCAGCGTGCCTTGGGAAGTGAGTCAAAGGCAACTGGTACCCTGCAAATAAGGCCCCTAGATTTATGTGTAAATAAGAGAGGATTTTGGCTCCAGAGTAACAAATGATACTCAGGGGAGGGTGCTTTCATTGCATTCATTTTAAGAAAAATCTCCTATTGGACCAGGAACAATTTAACTCTTATTATGCTCATTCCTATGTGGCTCACTGAAATACTCCCTGCTCGAATATTATTTAGAGGCTTATTACCCCCCGTATAAAACTCTTCATTTGTTTAAAGTTTCTTAGGTTAAAGTACTCAAGTACTAAATAAATCATTATAACAAATACTTTCTGTATTTCAAAGTTCACTGACCTTTCAAGCAAACAAAAAAATATTGCCCTTATCCCCTTCTCCTTTCCTATTAGGTCTGTGTTCACCCTTCCAACACAGTGCTCAGGTAAACAGTTTCTATTTGTAGCTCTTTGCAGGAACAGTGAGGGAATAAAGGAAAACTGGCTTATACACACTGTCCTTGCTTCACTGTGGAAGGAAAAACACAACAGTGCCATGTGTGTGAATCCCTTTGGAGCTGCTGCAGCCCATGTCAGGGCCTGAGTGGGGAGATGCAGACTAAGCAAGCACACAAGGAGCACAGAAAAGCTTCACAAGTTTTTCCTCCTCTCTATCTTTTCTTCTGCAAGCTCAGCAACAAAGGAAATAAGGACAGTGAAATTTAAACGTATGCCTTTTTAAAACATACAGTTTATATAGTTTTCTATCCTGCCATGGCTGTATCAGAAGGCAAAGCTGCACTTAGAATATTTGCAGAAATTGTTCAGAACCCTTTTATTCCCCTCTCTTAGCTAGAATTTTGGTTTTGGCCACAAAGGGGTTTTTCACTAAAAAGAAAAATGTTTCATTCAAAAGTCTTTACAGCAGAAAATCCTTTTGTTTGTTAAATTAAAAACAGAAACCATTTCACTTCAGAAACCCCTACCTCCTCTTTTTTGAAGTTTTCATGGAAAATATATATTTTTTTCACCAGCTCATATCACAGAATGTAGTAGACTCTTAGGAATTTATTCTATTGCTGTTGAAATATCTTAGCAAATTAAGCCTTCCCTAGTCTGTGATTTCATCTCAATACCTCTGCACACACTCTGTACTCAAAAGCTTTTCACTGCACTGAAATCAAACTGAACCCTAACATGCCTCCTGCAACTCAGTGGATGAATTTGACCTCTGAAATCTGCAAAGCAATTAAGCAAATGTCTTTTGCAGGATGGTTCAGGTGAGAAATTGTTGCTGTTCTATCTAATCTCATTCAATTTTCTGGGTGAGAAGGGACCGTGTTGATCCTCCTGTTCAGCAGCAGGATTTTCAGGGCATTGTGAAGTTCAGACATGTGAAGGTCACCCACATACTGCTTCAGCTGTGTGTTTTTCACCTCTGGAAACAAGAGCTTCTCAAAAAAGGCACGATTGTTATTGCTACTTATACTTATGTCTTGAAAGAGCTGCCATTATGCAGTAAATTACAGTGTTTATATATGGGTTTGGGACCTTGAACAAAAATAGAGAGTTTTCTTAATCCTGTTTGTCAGAGGCTAAGATTAAGTGTAGATGATCCACTAAAAGAAAAATTGAAAGAGTGTCTGGATTTGATCCGAGCCTGACAGAAGTGCTAAACTAGGGATGAAGCTATTCACTCTTAAAGCTGAGCCAGCGATTCTCCTGGAAACCATTATGGCTAATGACAAATTCTATAGAAATCCTTAATGTATGAAAATATAACACGTACAACATCCAGCGAGATACAGATGAAGCCAAGCAGAATTCCTAGACATTTCTGGCACTGTTGCACAGAGAAGTCTTTGTGGTATGTCAGTAACTTGGATTTAACCCCTGGCAAAAGCAGCTTGCAAGTACCATACATTTAGGAGTAGGCAATGGCTTTACGATGTGGCAGAGGGAAAAACTGAAATTCCACTGTAGTCCCAGCCATCCACCGGGGCTCGTGTGGTACATAATGGACTCCTGAAGCTTCTTTTGCACAGGAGCCTGATGCCGTTGCTGGGAAGGAGCTCCTCCCAGACGTGGAGGCCTGAGTTACAAGGTGCAGGAGGATGGGGGCAGCCACGTTAGTTGTGTCTTCTGGAGAGAAAATTGATTAAATTTTATACATTTGGAGGTAACCAAGCTAAGGGTCCTGGGTCAGATCTCTGTCATTAGTAGAAGTCTGGGACTGCTGCTGTATATGTGGAAAATAATGTGGATGTTTTGTAAGGCAAAAAACTGGAAGAAAAACACAGTACATCCACAGAAGGTGGCCATGAGCTAGCCAATTTATTTCAAGGAGGAAAGTGAGAGATGGAAAGGAGGTGAGATTTTTGTAAAAGTTCTTCAGTGTAGAAATTAACAAAAACTTTGCAGGCTTCTGAGGCAGAAGCGAAGGGAGGTTCATAAGCCTGGTTCTGGTGCAGAGTGCTTTCTGCCACGTCTGGCTGTAGTGGAAATGGATCTCCAAAAATGTACAGCTTCTGTCTCAGGACTCAGATCCTTTCTTGACATGTGAGAAGGACTCGGGTGGTTAGATAAGACTTTGAAGGTTACGTGCGTGTTCAGAGCTCTGAAGCCATTTGGATTTGGGTCAGCTGTAGAAGTGAAGAAGTAATTCTCCTGCTCAAAGGATTTGAGAAGTGTAACAGGAAGAGGTAAATGAATAACTGTTCATTAAGAGTTTGCAGCTGGAATTTACACATCTGTGACAGAAACTGTGCAGCTTGCTTATGGCTGAAACTCTTACAGCCTTATGGTCAGCAAATGCTGAAGTACAGTTTGTTTTATTGTCTCTGGAAGTGATCACTGTGCAGAGTCACTGTGATCAGCAATATGTAGCTTTGCTCCCGGCAGGAGAGGGAAATGTTTTTTCTGCTTTGAAAAATTCAAAAGTTGACTTCAAAACAAATTGTTGTACATCTATTGCCATGCAGGAGTCATAGGTTGGCTACAACGTGCTGTGCAAAAACAAAAAAAAACAAACAAACAAAAAAGAAAAACCAGATGAATTTTCTGTGATGCTCTTAAAACCTCTTCCTTTCCAAGAAAAGCTAGGAGCAAACAAAAGTGGAGCAGTATGGACAGGGTAGTGGTATATAATGGTGCTGCCATAATAGTTCCCTGTTCTGTCCGTGCAGACCTATCAGCCAGGCCTGGGTCATTGCTGTTTCATACCTCACAGTACTCTCCCCACAATGTCTCCTGCATCGTTGTTGTTTCTTTTAGCCAAGGGCGAAAACAGGCCTTCACTTACTGTAAGGTGTTGGGGAATACAAACATGAAGCAAATTGTGGTCTGTATGTGCAGCTTTTGAAAAGGGGCTTTCTTCCAGAAAACAGGATGGTGTTGTGACCTGTGCCCTTGGATTCCCTACCCCACAAATCCAATTAAAGGTCTCCAAACAGAATCAGATTTGTGAACCTCCTGCCTCGTGAAATGCTATTCCAGGCACAGTTCTCGTCCCCCAAAGAGGGCCGCTGCTGTCATTCTTTAGTGGGCACTGACAGGATTTGAATGTCTCTAAATTGCTCTTTTC